CGGTGCAGCAGACAAGGAAGTATTTATCACGAGCCAAGAAAAACGAGCAACCTGCCTGGGATGCTCCTGCACAAGTGCTGTTTTGCAAACGGGGAGTTTAGTGAAGGAACTACAGAGCCGCTCCCACACAGGAGAGGTGGCACGGGAGGGGGCATGGAAGTCTCAAAGCCGGAGCAGAGGGGTTAAGCTCACTTTGCCACCTCAGCTGAGCAGCGTGCCGGGAACAAGGCCAAACAGCACGCAGGAGGCGTGCCGAGCACCTCTTGTTTTGCAGGGAGGGGATGGTGCTCCCCAGCAGGGATCCAAGTGACGACGGAGCACTAATTTCATGTGCACAGAGCCCAGTCCTACCAATCCCCTAAATCTGTTTATTACCTCTCATAGGTAAAGCGCCAAAAGCACTCCAAAAGCAGAAGCTGTTTTGGCACGGAGGCTGCCGCACAAGGACACCCTGTGTGCCCTGACCCCCGGCATCGCCTGCAGCTGGTACCCGGTGACCCCAGCCTGCATCCGAAGCCGCATCAATTCCCGAGGCGCTGGATACGTCAGGGCCCTAACAGGAGAAGGATGGCTGGTAAGGAGGGCACAGCAAGAAACTGGATCCACGGGGGAGGAAGAGAGGGGAACCCTCCTGTCCCCAGGGAATATCGACCACGAAGGTGCTTTAAAAGGAAAGGGGGACTTGCGCTATGCAGGGCAATTGATCTGTTTACAGAAAATATCTGCAGGTTGCCTGAAAATGAATACCCTTCATGCAAAAGTTTCCTTTGAGAGAGCACGAACTTCGGACACATTAGAAGGTTAAGAGCATAAGTAATGTGGGGTTTCACCTTTAGCTAAAGGTCACGGAGCATTCAAACAATTACCCTGTTCCCAAGCTGAACATCACAGAAGTCAACTAAGCACCCCAACATTACAGCTAATTAATATGGAAAACAAAAACGTTTTCCCTGCAGTTTGGCCAAGAAAACCACACAGTGCTCTTAAGAAAAAAGTGCTGATTATTGGTGATTTTAGTTTTACCTAAAGCAAGTCAAACAACCGAGAGCCTTTTCACCAAGCTTCCTTCTTCCCTTTAAAAGCATGCACACTTGTCAAAGTTTTTTTACAAGACATTTTTTAGTCAGCTAGAATTAAGTCTAGGGTCATTATAAACTACCACACCATTTTCACATCTAGCCTCCCTGGCAGCTGTTGGGACCAGATGCCTCTCAGTGAGGAGGAGGAGGAGGAGGATGACACCCCGATACAGACGGGGACCAACCTACCCAGCAGAAGAGCCTGTTCGCTGCATCACCCATCAGAGCTCGGCCTGGATCAGACCCACGGGTTCACAGCCCTGCCCAAAGCTGGCACCTAAGAGTGAAACCAGCCAACAAACATCCTCACTCGACCGGTACTGGATCTCTTCCACCAGCTCCAAACTCAGCAGTAACTCCTGGAACATGCTGCTGGGAGATAGTGCCCATACGTACAAAGCATATTTCTGTTTGTTCACTTGAAACATGGTTTTTTCCTTTTTTTCCCCCCATTTTGTTGGATACTCCTCAGGTTTTATACAATGGGAGAAGAAAAATGCCCAAGCCTGCTCCTGCTGCCTTCTGCCCCTTCACAACATCCCCTCTCACTTGCCTCATCTGTGAAATCAAACAGCTGCAATCCTTTAAATCACTTTTCATAAAGTGTCTCCAAGCCTAAAATAATGTCACGGCTCATTTCTGAGCTCAGTATTCCTGCCGCGCCGCATTTCCCTGGGTGCGACCGTCACAGTTGGACTGCGATTATTTATTTATATTATAATAGCATTTGCAGCCCTGCTGTGCTCAGCCCTGCGCATGCGCCCAGGAGGTGACCTAGGGCGTTTCCACCGCCGGGATAAGGATCCCCAGGCTGACGAATTCCCAGTTCTCTGGAAAGGATGTCGTGGAACGCAGCAAACCAGAAACAAAATCTAATTAGATGCAAGACATGCTAGTGTCGGGTTGGTTTTGGCCTCTCTCGCTTTCTTCCAAACAAGCTCTCACTGTGCAAACACACCCCATGACAAAACTGACCTGGCCAAGACATGCAAGCAAATACCGCTGACTTTTAATATTAAAACAGCGCAGCGACTTCAAAGCAACTGGCCTCTCCTCTCCCAAGCAATCCCACCAGAGATCAGCTCCAGCCTCAGAGCCATGGCCAGGTTCCAGCTCACGGCAGTGCCGAGCAAGAGACACGTGCTTGCAAACAGCTGAGAGTGGCAGGGCAGATCATGCAGGGACACGCTTGAAGAAAAGCTCTTCCTACCCTCCCGAGGAGAGGCAAAGTGCATTTGGTTTGTGTGGGGCTGGCACGCTCCTGCCGAGAGGAGCCTTTCGGCTTTCCATCCAAAGAAATCTCAGCTCGGACCTCTCCCACATCCAGACACCTAAAAGGTATCACATAACTTCAGATGATTACACGCGGCTGTAAAAATAGCTTCTAGAAGCAAACGCCAGCAACTTCTTCCAACATTAATACGATAGAATAAAACCGGTATTCACTCTAGGCAGAGACGATGGCACACCGGAGAAACCCAGAGCTCCGTCCGACCTGCAAACAACTGCCCCGCTTGGTTCCTTCTGCTGTTGCGACACTAAGGGGAAGTAACCGGGGCTTGCAGGAGACAGGGACTCACCCCCGAGGCCAGGAGCCTTTCGCACTCTTCTAAAATCCGTCTCCACATTGGGTATTGAGGTTTCTTTGGTTGGTTTTTAAATCACAGCTTTGCAACAACTGCAGATGGTGCTCACCTGGTCACATCCTCCTCCTGCTCGGGTTTCGGATACAAAGGGAACTGGGATTTTCTTTTTGAGACAAATGCTCTCGTTCTGTCCCACCTCCCAAATAAGCACGCTTGCACCGATGGAAGCAAAACTCCCATAAATCCAACCAGGTCAGCGTGCCTCGTATCCTGGATGAAAAGCTTCTTTGTGCAGAAGGACGCAGGCCCCGAGCGATGTGGATGAGCCAGCTAACGCAGCCAAAAGCTCGTCCTGTGCCCTCCATAACGTTTCCATTTCAAAGCCTTTCCCAATTCCGGCTCTGTTCCCTGTGCCGCTCTGTTGAATCCCAGCAAAGAGGGCAGATGAAGGAATTTCACCCCTTCGCTGACACTTTGTGGGTTTCCAGGTTTTCA